GCCCGCTGAGCCTCGGCCCCCACCACGTGGCTCCCGCACGGGGCGCTGTCCCCAGAGCCACAGGGGTGTGGCCCCCGCCTGCTCCCCTCCCGCCTGGGCCCTTGGGGGCGGGGGGGGGGCACGCCTGGGACTGAGCGTGAGAGGACCGGCTGGGAGCCCAAGGCTGGACGCTCGGCCACGTGGGGCCGGGCCCCCCCCGCAGCCAGCGTTTCTCCGGGTCCCAGTGGGCTGGGTGAGCCAAGACTCCCTCCCTCCCCGACACCCTTTGGCCTGCACACACACGCACACCCGGATACACACACGGACACACACAACAGCACACACAGGCCCGCCCCGCTGCAATTTCTCTCTGTAGATGGTGGCCCGTTTACTCCGGAAGCATCGGCGCAGGGCCGCGTGCCCGCGGCCAAGGCCTGTCCTGCAGAGAACGGGCTCTGGAGCCTCCTCCCACGCTGTCCGGGGCAGGTCGGGGTCAGCATGAGCGCCGGAGTGCACGTGTTTGTGTGCGCAAGGCTGGGGGGCCTTGTCCTGGAAAAGTCTCGGCAGCACAGGGCGCGTGTTGACAGGTCGCATAGAGCGTACGGAAATGCTGCGTCTGCTGAGGAAAGTCCCAGGCGGCGCCCCAGAGTCCTCACACCGTGACGAGGGGCCACCCGAGGGGCAAGGCCAGCTGAGACCGCAGCAGAGACCGCGCTTTGTGAGAGGGGCCCTCAGTGAGCCCAGGCCTGGTCCCTGCCTCCACCCTCTCCGGCCACGCCAGCCAGGCGCGCAGGTGAGCGGCATCCCCGGCAGAGTGGGCGCGGCCGAAACGCAGGGCCAGTGGGGCACCTCCGGGTGACGGGCCAGGCCCTGGTATCCGACCATAGAAGAGGAAGGGCTGGGGTGGGGGGCCTGCAGGTCGGGCAGGGGGTCTCGGGGACAGGGAGAAGGCTCGGGGCACGCAGGGCCCGGGGGGGCTGCCCAGGAGGAGGGGGGCCCGGGGCGCTGAGCAGAGGGGCAACCACACAGGCGGGCCTGGTGGGGTCGCCGCGGCGGGTGGCACCATCTGGTGGGTGAACGCCAGAGGAGGGCCCCCTTGCTGTCTGGACTGAGAGGCTGACTCAGGACAGGTGAGCCCAGGTGTGCTCGGGTGTGTCTACAGTCCCAGCAACCACACCTGGCAGCGGCAGCGAGCTCAAAGGCAGCAGGTTACAATGTAGCATTAGTCAGCAGAGAGGAAGAAAAATACCTGACAGAGGGGGAGGGGCGGGGGGGTGGGGAGAGAGCTCAGTTTCTTAGGAATCAATGAGGGACACCACACCTGCCGTGTGGCCCCCACCGATACAGATGGAGTAATGCTGTGAGGTTCTGATGAAAGTTATAAGCCAGTTTCTAAAAACGCAGGTAGACACACAATGGCATTTCACACACTTTAGGGGAATTCGCCAGCACCCAGTGCCACCCGGGGACCCCGCCCTCAGCCACAGGTAAACAGGCACCTCGGTGTGTGTGTCTCCCACAGACCTATCGTGGCTGAAAACAGCAGTATATTACGCACGGCTCTGGGGGGCAAACGTCCGGCCTGGGCGACCCCGGGCCGGAACCACAGTGCGGCCCGCAGGCAGGTTCCCTCGAGGCTCCGGGCAGAAGCTGCTTCCTGCCGTTTCGGCTCCTGGAGGCCCTGCGACCCTGGGCGCTGAGCCCACCTCAGGCCGAGCCCTTCTCGGCTGGACCCTCTGCTCTCCCCTGTCCTGCCTCCTCCTCCGTCTGCGAGGCCCCGTGACGACATCCGGCCGCGGGGCGATCCGGGCTGATCTCACCGCCCATGAGCCACCGCCACCCGCCGGAGCCGAGGGAGGGTCAGGGTCCGGGTCAGGGTCCTGACCCGGGTCCGGGCGAGGACGCCGCTGGGCCGTTACCCCGCCCCCCCCCCTTGGACGCAGGACGGCATCAGATGGCAGATGTGGGCCACGCACAGGGGAATGCGGCCCATGGGCAAGGGACGGGGGCCGTCGACTGCAGGCGCGGGCCGAGCCGTTTTCTCCAAACTGGCCGGAGGCCGGAGGGGGCCCCACCCCTTTCCAGTCTCCAGGGCAAGTCTGGCCCTCCCAGGAGCCAGCCCAGAGCTGGGTCCTCAAGGCTCAGAGTTCCCCTCCCACGCACCCTCTCCGCCCTGGCCTGCCTCGCAGCTGAGGGGTCAGGCCCGCAGGCGCACGTGCTGAGGTGCCTGGTGGCCCCGGGGTCCCGGTGCTGGAGGCCCCGCAGGTGGAGGGCAGCTCCACAGAGTCCGGCTCAAGGCCCCAGCTTTTCCCCAGTAGAGGCGGCCGGGCCCGCCCCCACGCTGGGCTGAAAGGGCACCTGTCGGGTGGGCCAGCCTGGCCCGGGTGTCAGCTGTAGGCCCACACCTGAGGGCCTGCTCGCTGCAAGAGGCCGGGACAGGGACACACACACACAGTCCTGAGCTCCCCTGGGTTTCCATTGGCCAGATGGTGGGCGTGGACCCCAGCCAAACCCCCCCCCGAGCACACGCACCCCACACCAGAGTCCGTCCCACGCCAGCGCCTCCGGACAGGTGCCAATGCCAGAAACAAGGCCCAAGTGGGAGAAGGTGCCCTCCAGCGGGAGGCCAAGGGTCAGCCCGACCCTCAGGCGGTCAGGCCGGGGTGAGGGAGGTGGGGGGAAGAGGTGGGTGCCCGACCGAGCATCAGGGTGCGGAGGCCAGAGTCTGCGCGGCGTCCAGACCCGCAGGAGAGGCCTGGGCCAGGGTCCCTCCCAGGTTTCTATCTGGGGGGCAGGGCAGCAGAGCGGGAAGGCAGAGAGAGCGCCTGGGCCGCCCGCCCCCAGCACCGGAGGGGGGTCATTCAATGGGGGAGGAGGAGGGGCTGCCTCCAGGTGCCACTGGCTTAGGGAACTCAGCACGCGCGCGTTTCCTGACTTCGACGGCATCGGACAGGCCCAAACCTGGCCTCTTCCCACCAGCGTGTGCGGTGGGGTCTCTGGTGTCGCCGAGGCCAGGGGATAAGGACGCCCCTTCGGACTTGCCAGGTGGAGGGGCGTGGGGCCTCTGCGGAGGCCGTGGCCCACCTGCGCCGCACCTGAGAGCTGCGGTGAGCCGGACAATGCAGAGATGAAGGCAGTGAGTTCACTCCCCACGAGTGTGGCCACGGGGGAGAGGGACAACGAGGGGTGACAGCGGTCAGCTGGGCCGGAGAAGGTGGACCTAGAGCTCACCAGCCAGGCCTCGCAGACTCCTACACATCTCCCTTCAACCTCTGGATGGAGCCACAGGAGGGTCTGTCCCATACAGTAACCAGGCCAACCAGAGCCACGTCCACAGGGCCGAGCCCCTGGCCGGCCACGCCAGGCCTCTCAGGGCTCCACGGTGTGGGGGCTTGGGGTGTGCAGTGGTCTCAGACGCCCAGGAGGCTCTGGACTAGCAGGAGGGCGTGGGAGTGGGGGATCCGTGTTCCCTCAGAAACGGGGACCCTGCCAGCCCCGCCCCATAGGGGGCAGCTGTGGACGGAGCGGGTGTTGTGCTGGGCCTGAAGCTCGCAGGCCCATGGGGGGCAGGGCTCCGGGGTGCCAGGCGCCCGCCTGCAGGGCTTGGACCCTCGGTGCTGAGCCCCAGCCTCCCCCAGGCTCCCCCAGCCCCCTGCAGACTGTCTCCCACGGAGCGAAGCGCCGCTCCCCCGACGCAGGCCCCCGCCCCCGCCCCCGCCCCGCTCCCTGCCCTGCGTCAGGAGGAGCACCAGCCCTGAAACCGAAACCCGACATTCTGGTTCTGCAGCCTGCGCTGCCCTGCAGGCCTCCGGTGTCAGAGTCAGCGGGGCGGAGCCAGCGCAGAAAAGCCCAGAACACAGCGCAGGGAGCGGGTCAGCCCCGCCGCGGGTTGGGCGCGGGCTGCTGTCCTCGCGTCCCCCCGGCAGCCCACACCCGCGCCAGTCGCTAGTCGCTAGCCACGTGCGGCCTGTCCTGTCACCAGCCGGCCGCTGCGGGTCGACACCCTGCGTCGTGCAGTGCAGGTGTCGAGCACCTGCTTCTTGTCAGGACCTGCAGGAGCTCACGGTCTCGTGCCGGCACACACCTAACGCCTGCCTGGGGCCACGCGCCGTGCCCGAGTCCTCGGTGCAGGTGGCACGGTGCTCACGGACCGCTTTGGGCCCCCGCCCGGTCGCCCTTTGGTCTCAGCAGCTGGCGAGAAGCCACGCGGTTCATAGCCGAGGATGCCGGCCGGCTCAGGTCCCATTACGTGACACCCCAGGGACCCTGCGCTGGGGTAAATAAGCATCCCCCAAAATTCACATCTACCCAGAACAGGGAGAGCGAACCTACCGGATTTTGCGGATGTAATCAAGTCGTGGTCACTGGGCCAGGCCCTTGTCCAGTGACGGGTGTCCTTCGAATGGAAGGGATACTTAGAGGACGCAGAAGACGACAGCAGGCTCCGCCCCAGAGCCTCCGGAGGGAGGCGGGCCTTGCGGCCGCAGAGAGCATCTTGTGAAGCCCCCAGGCTGTGGTCATCTGTTATGGCAGCTACAGGACACTGACTCATCCTCGAGGATGTGAGGCCACTGACCCCGCGCAGACCAGCCCCTGGGTGTTCAGAGACTTGCTGTGGCATCTGGGGGAAGTTGGGGTCAAAGGGCAGGATCTGCATTAAAAGGAAGGAGGAGGGGTCCCCGGGAGTGTGGGGGTGACAGGGCAGGCCCATGGGACGCGCTGACCCCAGGGCCACGGGGCCCCCGGGAGGAGCCCGCGCAGCGTCCGGCTCGGCCAGCAGGCGCGGGTCAGGGCTCCCTGGGCGGGGCGGCCAGCAGCCCAGGTTCTTTAACACGCGGAAACAACGTGAAACAGCAGGCATTTGGCTCCATAAATCTCCATCGCAAGAAACAACCTGGAGTGGCGTCAGGGGTTCACCAAGGCAACGCCAGCGCCTCCCCCAAACATCAGCCAAACGCGATGACTGCAGGTGCTTTCAGGGAAACAGGATGAGACAGCACACAAAGGCACGGGGCTTGGTTTGCTATGCACGTTTCTTTTTTAAAAAAAATATAATAACTTAGTTTGCATTTTACAGCGTTTCCAATCAATGGGTCGGGGCTCCACAGCCAGACTGCGCAGGAGCGTTACACTCCGTGGGCGCCGGGCGCTCGCCCCGAGGCGGTCACTCCACGCCCATCTCGCAGGGGTTCAGCCCCCTCTCCTCGGCGTCCCTGTACACCCTTTGGAAGTCCTCCAGGCGCGGGGCGCAGCCGAGCCGGGCCTCCCCAAAGTGCATGTGTCCCGTGAAGAGGAACTCGCCGCGCCCGGGCCGCACCCCGCACTCCAGCAGCGTGGTGATGCGCCCCCGCCAGCCGCCGCCGGGCGCTGGCCGGAAGACCCTGCTCTTCTGCCGGTAGATCCGGCTCACGTGCAGGTGGATGGCTGACTCCTGACGCTCGGGTGCGTGGGTGACGTCCCGGATGGCGCCGCGGACCACTGCAGAGGGAGGGACACGGGTCAGCGCGGCTGCGGGGATGCCCGCCGGGCCCCCCGGCAAGGTGCGCGCGGGCGGCAGGCGGGCGGGGACCCTGGTCTCCGCGTCCCAGAACTTCCTGGTAAAAATTACAGGGCGGAGGCGGTCTTCCTCCAAGGGCCCGCCTCACGAGCGGAGAACAGAAGGCACGAACCACGCTGTACAGCAGCTTTTCAAGCTGGAGCGAGGAACGTGGCCACAGCTCAGACATGAGATTTGTATCAAGACCGCAGTCTCGCCGAGGCTCCTGGGAGGAAGGCGGCGGGCAGGGCAGAGGCCCCGAAAGAGGTCCCACCCCCCGGGACCCGGAAAGGAGCTGTGGGTCCCCACGGAACTGACCACGGGGCTCAGGCTCAGCAGGTCCAGCCGTGACAGCCACCGCCCTGGGCCCAAGCCAACCCTGCCCTCAGCCCAGGGCCCCGCCAGGGCCCGGAACGCCCGCCGCGGCACCTGCAGGGGACCCGGCGGAGGGCGAGGTTCTGAGGTCAGGCCTCCAGAGGGGCGGCCTCGCGTGCCGGGTGGGGAAACGCTCAGCGAACGCCTTTGGAAACAGTAACTCCCAGCCAGGGCTCCCGTGCGCCCGGGGCTGCCGGCACCGGCGGGACCACGGGCGCACCACGCCCGGCATCTCCACAGCGCCCTCCCCGCGGAGGTCCGAGCCTGGGCGAGGGGTCCCCGGGGCCCGCGTGGGCACGGGGCACCCTCCCACCCCCGCCGGCGGAACCGCGGGCACTCACCGAAGTCGCTGGTGCAGACGGCCAGGAGCACCTCCGCATCGCTGCAGGGCCGGCACGGGGCTGCGGGGAGAGGACGCAGGGGCGGCGTCAGGCGGGGCCACGCATGCGCGCGCGGTCGCAGCCCGGGCCCCGGTGCGGGCACCACCAACGCCCGCGGGAGCTCGGCCGTCCGGCAGCCGGCGCCTGCCCTGCGGCCCGCGGCCCAGCGAGCGGGCTGGGCGCTGACGGCGGGGGACCCCGGGCCCGCCGCTCAGCGCAGGACGGGCCTGTCCCTCAGGAGCAGCCACTGGACTCACGTGAAATCACTCTCCCTCGTCCGCCACCCACGCAAACCAGCTGGGCTGAGCAGAGCCCTGTCCCTCCTCCCAGCCTCCGCATCCACCCTCCGCAAGGCCCGGGCTGCCCACCCTCACCGCCTGCTCCCCGGGACCCCTGCCGCCTGGTTCCACAGGGGTCAAGGCTCTGCCTGGCAGGACCCACGAGGCCGCACCTCGAGGCGCCGGGGAACGACGAGGGGCGAGGGGCGTTCTCCTGCTGCGGCCCTGGGCCCCTCCGCGGGCCCCTCCCGCAGACCCCGCCTGGCCTCTGAACACCCCAGACTCCTTCCAGAGCCGCCCAGAGTCCGCTGTCAGACCCGACCGCGGCAGGGCTGGCTTCCTCCGGCCAAACGGGCCTCACGTAAAGCCCTGCACCCTCCTGCCTCAGGTGGGCACAGGCCTCAGAAAGGTAGTGGGGGAGGGAGAGGGAGGCAGAAACCTGGGGCTCTGGCAGCCCTCCTCCCCCATGGACCATGCTCCCCTTCGCTTGACGGTGGATTTGAGAAAATACAATCTATTCGTTGACTCTTACATTACACATTTCGAGGCCTGTCCTTCACCTATGTCAAGTCTCTGTGTTTTGGCATGAAGCCTCCTAACGCCGTAGACACTGTACCTGTGAAATCTCACTGGGACGAGCCCGCCCGGGGCGTCCCTGGCCTCGGCACTGGCTGGGCCCGGGGGAAGCTAATCCTGGCTGCGTGCCCGGCCGGCTGCCCTTGCAGCCTAGCCCTCGAACTAGGCTGAGTGTGAGGTCACCTGCCCTGGGGCGGCCAGACCCCGCAGGGGTGGGTGGCGGCAGTGGCTTGGGGGCCTCGGGGACCCGGGCGGGGCGCAGACAGCAGCAGAAGAGAGGCGCCCGGGCCTGAACGTGCGTGGACCGCGGGGTCCGGCTCGCAGGGTTCCCGGGCCGCCGGGCTTGGGCGTGGGCGGTGCTGTGCTGCCCCGCCCCGGGCAGGGCGGGTGCGCGTCGCCGACCACGGGCGAGGTGTGCCTTCTGGCAGGTGCGCCCGCCGGCCCGCCCGCCCAGTGCCCGGGCCCCTGGTGTTATCAGGAAGAGCAGCAGCCACGGAACCAGACCAGCCTGCTGGGCGCGTTGGCAGCCGGTCCAGCCCATCTGCACAGCAGGAGCCTCCCCGGCAGCTCCAGATCCCAAGCCCTCTGCCCACCTGTGGCCTCTGTTTGCATGGGTGGGTCCCCAGCCTCAAGGCCTCACTTAAAAAAGAGTGTGGCCGGGGGGACCCCCCGCCCCGTGCCGGCCGGCTCACCCCGTGCCCACAGGTTGGAGGCTCCAGCCTGGGCTCCCTCTGTAGGAGGGGGTGGCCTTGGCAGCTGTCCCTCCAAGAAGGCAGGCGGGTCAGTGAGCCAAACCCACGATGACCGCAGCCCCCTCCAGGCTCTGCTCGGGGCCAGTGTGCAGGGCGCCAAGCGCAGGGGGGTGGCAGGTGAGGGTCCACACGTGGTCTCCAGAGGTGAGCCTCGGGCTCCAAGCGGAGACAGGCCAGGAGGCGCCAGCCACACAGGGAGGCGTTGGGGGCCAACAGACCCCAGTCCTGGAGCTGCGGCCTCTTGGGGGTTGTGGGCCCTGGGACCTCGGCTGACGGCCGGGGACAGAGGTGGACACCAGCCATCCTAGGCGCCCGCCCTGGCTCACTCCCCGTCCCGCGGTGCGGGGCCCTGGGGGTCCCCGGAAAGCGGGCCACGCCGGCAGGGCCCCCCCCCCAGAAGCCTGGACGAGCCGACGCCACTGACAGCTGAGCTCATAAAGCGCCGCCCCGGAGACTCCCTCCCGCAGCCCTGCGCTTCCCGGAGCGCAGGTCACCTTTGTGGGAAGCCCAGCCCGCGGACAAGCAGTCTGGAAACAATTACTGCCGGAGGCGGCTCGTAAAGGCTGTGGAATGCGCTGGTTTCTGCCGCATCCAATCCCGTGTCCTTACGGGGGAGACGGGGAGGGGGCGGCCAACGGGCTGGTTGGAATTCTGGCCCGAGTCTCGTGGCGAGGGGAGGGCCGGGGTGTGGACGTCCCAGGAAGATTACTCTGGAATGTGCATAAAATGAGCTGAACGACGAAGAAAACAACAGGGTCAGGGAGACAGGCCGGGGCCACACGGGGAGCCAGGTGAGACCGGCAGGTGCCCGCAGGAGGCCGTGGGCGGGGTGCCTTCTGTCAGGGACTTGGCGCCCAAGATGCTTGGCGGAGGGTCAGACAGACGCTGGACCTGAGGGCCCGGATAAGGAAGGCCATGCGGGAGGACACCCGGCGGGGTCAGCTGGTGACCAGGGCAGGTGCAGCATTTCAACAGGGAACGAAGAGAAAAGAAAAACCAGAATGTTGTGAACGCGGCCGTGGCAGTGGCCGTGGCCGGTGTCACCTGAGACCAAGCTGGAGCTGCTGGTTAAGGCTCCAGAGCTGCCTCCAATGGCCACAACCCCCTGCGCACCCGCCCAGAAGTCCAGTCCCCAGATGACCCCACCGGGCCCTGTCCTTGCTCGTCACCAGTGTCTCCTCCTGCCCCGCGGCCCCCCAGCCTCTTCCTCACCAGGAAAGCCACACCCTTCCACCCCAAAATGAGTAAGGCAGAAAATAATCACACAATAATTACAGAGGCCAGAGAAGCCACTGGTGCAGGAAATAAACGATCCAGCAAAAAGAAAGCAGCCTGGCTCTCTCTCCTTTTCTGCTTCCAGGAAACGACAAGGTTTCTCCTTCACTCCTGAACTCTGCCACGCACCCACCACGGCCCCTGAGGCCATTGGTGGCGGCCTCCGCACCCACGGGGCCCCCCCGGGATGGCTTGCCCCCAGCCTGTCAGACGCCAGGTTTTAAACGCGACAGGAAATGAAGCCTGCCGGCCGTGCGTGACACCGGGGCCCCCTGCTCAGGCACCCCGGAGCCCGTGATGGGGGCGACCGCTGTGCCTCCCGCGGCCCCGGGGCCGCGGCACTCGGCTGTCACTCCCCCAGGCCGGCTCACCGTGGGCAGCGGGGGTGGGGGGTGTCCTGCGCGGGCACCCCACGGCGCCCAGAGCGTGGGTGAGGCCCTGCCAGTGGGCTCCCGGGGAAGGGGGTCCACGCGGCTGCCCCGTGCGAACTGAAGACACAGGGTCTGCCTCTGTACCCCGGCGCCAGACGGAGCGACACCCCACCCTCCCTCGCTGGTCACCCCCACATGTCCACCTGCCTGCTGGGTGATGGGGGACCCTCGCAGTGCCCGTTTCCCTGGGGACAGGCCCCAGCACCCGGCCACATCCCGCGCGGGGCCTGGAGCCCCGTCCGTCACAAACCTGCGTCTGGCCGCTCGCGCCTGCCCCGCTCTGCCAGGCTGCTCCTGCGCCCCGGAGGGAGTGCCCGCGTTGCTCAGGCGCGCTGGCGAGACCCGCAGCCCGCGGCGGGCACCGTGCGGCAGCCCAAACCCAGAGTCCCTGGGCTGGGTCGCCCCCGGCCGCCGCCAGCCCTGCCCCCCGCGCCTGGCAGGGAGCTGCCTGCCTCTCCATCCTTGGCTGCCGGTGCGTCTCGGTTTATCAGGGAGGCCGATCACACAGCCCGAGCGGACACGAGGCCACCATGCTTGCTCTGAACAGTCCCGGCGGCCAGGACTGCCGCCAGGAGCCTCCTGCTCTCAGGTCAGCACACAGGAGTGCTTGGGACTCGCGGGTGGGGAGAAGGCAGGCGCTCCCCTCCGAGCCCCCGCCGGGGGCCCCGGTGCCACGGGGCCTCTGCAGCGGCAGCCAGGCCGGAGCAGGAGCGAGCCTGCAGCCGCGCCGCCTCTGAGGGCCCACCTGGCCCGGGGACACCGCCGCCGCCAGATGGCCAGCGCCGACATTCCTCATTTCGCACCCATTCCTCAGGCATTAAAGGCTTAGGGGCCTAGGCCCTGATGAAAGGCCAACACCCCAGGGAGACAGGAGGCACCGACCTCCCCGGATCCTGCTGCCCCCCATGCCCTCAGGAGGGGGAGGTGCTGGGCCCAGTTCTGGTCTCAGCTCCCAGAGCCCTGGGTGCCTCTGAGTCCCTCTGAGTCCCAGTCCCTGGAACTGACAGTCACTGCCCCAGACCCCAGCCCGGAGCCGGTGGAGCCCTGTGGGCCCAGGTTGCCACGGACACCCCAGAGCCAGGCGGGTCTATGTCGGGGGGTAGCAAGGGAACCTGGGACACGCCCCTCGCAGAAGGCCTGGCCACCCCAGCCAGCGGGACGTCCAGCCTCGGCCAGCGCGGGAGGTGCGGGGCAGCGCGCACAGGCGGGGGCGGGACGACCCGGCCTGCACCCCGGCGCCCCCGCTCCCCGCGGCAGGCCCACAGGGTCCCGGGCCGCTCAGTCGCCAGCGCCACGCCTCTCCCAGGCGCACCCACGGGCCCCGCCTGGAAGGCACAGGCCCTGCCCCCAGCGAGGAGAAGGGAGCCTGAGCGCGGGCCGGGGCTGGGGTCACCCCAGGCTGTGACCGGGAGCTCCCGTCAGGGCAACGACGGCGCCCAGGTGTGCGGCAGCAGCCCCGGCGCCCGGGAACCGCGGGGCGAAGGCGGAACAGAGCCCCCGCCGGGAGAGGCCCCGCGAGCAGCAGCGAGTGTCTCTGAGGCCAATCAACGTGCGGCCAGTAAGAGGGACTTTACCAAGTTGCCGGCACTGGCTCCAGGGAGCAGGCGACCCCCACGGCCGGGAACCTCGACGCGGGCGACCCGGTTGTCCAGATTTTGCTGTCATTCGAGTGTGCCTCCAGGGCCTCGGAGAGAGGCTGGGGCCTCCTCACTGTGACCGAGGCACGGGCTGGGGTGGCTGAAGCCCAACTCAGGGCCTGGGCTTTGCGGCGGCATCCGGCGCTGCGTCCGCCCCGGGCAGGCGGCCCTGCCCCAGTGGCCCCACACTGAGGCTCTGCCACGGGGGCGTTGGTGTGAGCGAGCGTTGAAGTGGTGAACACTGACCCGAGCCAAGAACACAGCACAATACGCTGTGGATCCCCGTCAGGCGGAAGCTGCGCGTTTCAGACGCCAGCCGGCCTGGCCTTGCCCGGTCACACCCGACACGCAGAGACTGCACGGCTCCCGGGGACGGCCCAGCACTCACGCCAGCTGTTCCCGCGGGGCCCGGCTGACGCGTGAGGCCAGGTCATGACTGTGTAGGGTGTCCTCTGGTGCCACACGGAGCCGCGTCCCCCTCACGGGGGGACGTCCTATCCCTGTGGGGTGTTAACAGCATCCCTGCCGGGCCCCCGCCCGGCCAGGCCACAGGGCCGCCACCTGGCCATCATCCCAGCTGGTCACCGATGACGGGGCAGCCTTCCTGGAGCTGGCTGCCCGGGCAACCCACGCCCCCAGGCTCCTTGGTCCAGGCCAGCTTCGGAACGGACACAGGCAGCGTCCCCAGAGCCACGGCAGCCCCACCCCGAGCGCCCCTCCAACACGGAGCCTCCGAGCCTGGGCGAGGCCTGGCCCCGGAGGCCCCGGGCCGCTCAGGGCACGAGGGCCAGGACCTGTCCTGTGTGAGCAGCCTTGCAGACAAGGGCTCCTCCCTGCTCTCCGCCCGCAGACCTTTCCAAGGCCAGCCGCCCCCCCGGCCCCCACCACCCACCCACCCAGGGTCCGGCCAAGCCGTCTGCCTTCCTCCGAGGAAAAAGCAACGGGAGTCTAAAGCCGCTCTCCCCCTTCGCATGTCCACACACACCCCTGGCCGCCGAGAGACCCCTCCAGACCCCTCCCCCAGGCTCCCACGTCACCGAGGGCCCAGCCGCCGGGGCTCCGGCCCCACCTGGGTGCCCCACTCGACATGTTCCTGGAGCCTCCACACCGAGGGGTCCCTACGCACACCCACCCGCCCACAAAATGCCTCCCAAACCCGGGACTGGCCTGGGGATTCAGGACATTCAGGTTTGCGCCTGGGATGTGGATCAGCCTCAGATCCCACCCAAGCTCAACGTTCCAGGGGCTGCGGCCGGTCCGTGTGTCAGCAGCAAGCCTGGAGCGGCTGGAGCGGCACCAGCACCCACTGCAAATCCGCCACGTTCCACTCGCCGTGGAAGATGAGCACGTCAGGGAGTGAGGACCGGTCACGGCTCCAACCTGGGGCCCTTCTCGGGGACGCCTGTCACCCTCCGCAAGCACACTCCGGGGAGACGCATGCTTTGCAAAGCCCAGACGAGAGCTGTCCAGGACGCTAACGATACACCTCCCATCCGGCACCCGTCGCGCCCCACAGCTGCCCCACAGGAGGGCCCGTCGGCTGGTACCGTGGACCCCTCGGCCGCCGGGGGGCCTCCCGGGCAGATACACCCTGAGGAGCTTTCAAGGAGGCTGTGCTGGGGGGCGGGGCAGGAGAAATCGGAGAAGCCTGGCAAATGAGAAGGACCAGGGCTTCAGGACAGGAGCAGCCGGGGAGCCCGCCCCCCACCCCGGGCCCCACTCACCCGACAGCGCGTGCAGGTCCGACCCGGCGCGCCGGCCGCTCAGCTCGTACAGGAAGCCCGTGGTCCTCCTGCTGATGTCCTGCTGGGGCGTCGCTTCCACGAACAGGCCGCCCTGCTCGAAGCCGAAGCAGCGCACTTGGCCGGGCTCGTGGTCCCCGTCCCGAAACAGCAGTTTCAGCTCTCCAGTTTTTTCCAAATAAATATTGGCCCCGGAGGCGTCCCTGAGGGGCTTGATGCACAGAGTCAGGCGTCGGGAGGGCGAGAAGGTGTTGGGCCGCAGGTTGACGCTAAGAGCGCCTGTCGGGTACATCCACTCCACCGCGCCCGCGGAGCAGCGCAGGTACAGCTGCTCCACCTCCTTCCTGTGGGCCTCGTGCGTCAGCCCGCTGCGGAGGGGAGACGGGGTCAGCCAGCGCTGGCGTCGGGCCCCCAGACCCTCCCCGCACCCGGACGCTCGGCGTCTGCCGGCCTGCAAGGCTGCAGCGGCCGGGGCCCGAGTCCTCGGGGGTCTCCCCGAGTCGGGGAGGCGATGGGCGCGGCGCAGGTGAGACCCAAGGAAAGGATGGGTCTTCCAAAACATAATCAAGGAAACACCAGGAGGACGTTGGCTGCAGCCCAAATTCCAGACGGCCAAGCGGGGGACGGGAAACGGTGGAGGCGCCCACTGAGCGTGAAGGGCGGGCGCAGAGCCGGGGGACGGCACCGGGGACCCACGCGCGGAGGGACTCACTCCAGAGAGCGGCTCGGGAACCGGAGAGCACGGCCCGCGATGGGGGCCTGGAGGCGCGTGTGGTCTCTCGGGGCCCCACCCTCAGGCATTACGGTTTATATTGTCCCCTGGTGATGGGGCTGCCTTTCCACTCATTTGCAAACCTCAAGACCCTCCTCTGAGGAATATGTCTTTTCAATGAACCCAAATGTCCCTGAAGGGAGGAAAGGAAAGGTCCTCCCCAGGGGCCAGCGCGGGAGGGAAAGTGCGGAGAAGCCGGAGCTGAGCAGGCGCCTCCCGTCCCCGGTGGGGACTTCCAGAGGGCCCAGCTCGCTCCGCCCCTAACAGACGCCAGACAGGAGAAACTGAAGCCCCGCGCGTGTGAAACGCGCCACACTCCCCGCGAGACGCGTCTTGAGCACAATCACTATGTGATGTTTCCAAGAAACTGAAACCATCCAAAGCGTTGAAGTTTCCTGCCCCTTATCCAGATTTTAACATCAGCGTCTGCTTGTGCAAACGGCTACGTCACAACCACCAAGCAGCCCTGGAACTCGACTTCAGCTGAGTGTTTCATTACACGGGAGTGGGTTCTGATCAGATCTCAGACAGGTTCACCCACATTCTTGGGATTTTTATGTGGAATAAACAAAGCGATGCTCAGAGCCCTGGCCTGAGCGGGCTACCTAACCCCTTTCCACAGAGGAGAAAACAGCACATGTGGTTTGCATTTGCTGTTGGTGACTCGTGCTCTGGGCCCAGGAAAGCCCCGCTTTGCCTGCGACGGCCAGCGGCGGGCTGGGGCCGCGCAGTCACCCCGCGGACCGCGTCAGGCGGCGGCGGCACCGAGGAGGCGGTTCCTCCTCACCTCGCTCCCCGCCCCACATGCCCCGGGTCACGCGCAGCCCGCCCGGCCTCACACGCCTACCGGGCCTGCACACGCAGGACAGACTTGCAAATTACAGCCCAATAAAACTCATACGCGCTCATCTGACACATTCACGGGGATGGGCAGGATTAGAGCGCTGGGTGAAGAATTCGACGGAACGGTGAGCCGCTGCCCCCGAGGACTGGGACCAGCTCTGCTCTCGCTCAGCCACACAGACGTGACCCCAGTGTCCCTCCGCTCCGGTCCTTTGCCTCCGGGGCAGCTGGACGCTGGCCCATGCCCAAGCACCAATCCTCAAATCTCTCTCCCACAACAACCATTCTGTCTCAGGCTTCACCTCCCTCTCAGTGGGGCAAGGGGGCTCCGGGGGTCGAGGGAGTGAAGAACCTGCACCAGGGGCTTTGGATCCTTCGCTAAGTCACCTTAATTCGAACAGTAGAGGGAGCACTAGGGAGGCCCACCCTCCACCTGCGTCTCAGGCAGGGACAGAGGAAACCCTCATGGGAACAGGCGGCCGACCCACAGCTGCCCGGGGCGGGGGGCAGACCCGAGTCGGGGGCGGCCACCCACCAGCCTGCACCTATGACCGTGTGTATCTTATGGGCGCACCTGTTAATGGCTATTAATAAGATGAAAGAGAACTGGACGAGGGCGAGGGACAAAACGAAGGCTCCCCATTACCTCACCCGTTAAATACCCTCCTTGCTGGCCCACAGAGCAGGGTCTGCACCCACGGCTGGCATGCAGGGCTCCGCCCGGCTGCCTACAGCAGCAAGACCACCAGGAAGGCCGAAGGCAGTCAGTACCGAGTGTTCACACCAGTGGCGGTCGTGTGTGGCACGCCAGAGCCCTGTGGGCAAACGCCTCCTCAGCCGTGGACGGTCAGCCTGGGACCCGCCGGCTCTTTGCAGGAGGTCGAGGACTCCGGCCATGCCTGGTTCCTACCAGGAAGCAGAGCTCCACAGCTCACCTCTAAATCTTCAGCATCACAACAAACCTGAAAAAAAATCCTTCTATTTACGCAAAATGGCTGGGGTGCAAAAATGCACCAGGTCTGAACAGTCACTGGTGGTCGCACGTTACGACAGGCTCATGATATACAAGTGACACGCTAACCAGGCCAAAAAAAAAAAAGGGGCAACTGTTTTTTGATGGGATGAAGCTGCAGGAGGCAGAGAAAGCGCAGTCAGCCTCAGGGAATGAGAAGACTGGTTTGACTGTGGATTATTTAAACTGAGTTAATGCATTTTTCTTTAAAAAAAAAAAAAAGAGAGAGAATGGGCAAGTCTCATTGCCCAGGTGGGCGCGCCTGTGCAGCACCTTTACAGAAAAGACGGCCGATCCCGAGCTGACACGGAGGCTCCCTGGTGTGGTCAGCAGGGGGGCAGCCCGGACCGTGCCACTCACCGCATGGTCTGGCCCCAACGCTGAGTCACAGAAGGAAATGAGGTCTCTTGTTCACTGCGTCAGAAAGAGCCTCAGGTGGGGCCCTGGGCAGAGGAGAGGGCCCAGGGGGGCCGCGCCGCACCTGCAGTGCCCTGCCCAGAGCAGTGACCTCAGGGGCCTGGAAACACCCCAGAAACACACTTGGGCCTGTCAACTGTGAGGGGTCAGCACCATAACGAGCAACTCCCGCCCTCTCCAGGGACCAGAATCCGCCGCCTACCAGGCCACACCACCCAGCGCTGTCTTTAGGCTGCAGTCAGCAGGCACCGCAGCACCGGTCAGCTGCAGCTCTGGGGGGCTGCGCTCCAGGAATGCGGCCTGGCCAGCCCCTCTGCAGCCCCGCCCGCCGCTCGCTGCCTTGGGGCTCAGGGCAGGAGCTGGGGGAGTCAGGAACTGGGCACATCAGCAGTGACGGAAGGAAGGGGGCTACAGGCGCGTGTCCCCATTTCTCCAGGCCGATGAAAGGAGGCACAGCAGTGGGAAAGCGAAAGGCCTCCTCTCCGCAAGGCACACACCTGCGGGTCCAGGAGTCCCCCCGGCCCTCACGCACAGCGACCTCGGGCTCCGGCCCCCCCACGCTCACTGTCCTCTGACACCTGGAAAGGGTCAGCCCCTCCTCTGGAAGCCCCGGCTCAGCGGTGTGACGGGGCTACTGCTTTCGATCTGCTGAAGCAGGACACCCCAAGGCCTCCGTTTGGGGGGGCACTGATTCACTCAGCAGAGGCTGCAAAGCAGGGAGTTTAATTGCTGGCAGGGGCCAAGGGCTCTCAGGGTGAGATCGCGGCTCTCAGGGTGTGAGTCAGAGGCTCCGGGCCAGCTCGCTGCTGCCACCAGCTCTCCTCAGGCCAACCCTCCGCTCGGGTCCAGGCCCGGCTCCTCCATCCCGGCTCGGCTGTGAGGGAGGGCGCGGGGCCCCACCCCAGCGGCCCAGGACCCTCTCTGGGGGGCGGAGGGAAGGGGGCTGTGCTGCCGCGGGGCTGTCAGTGTCCGCAGAGAATGGCCTGTAAGCGCCGCGATGACCGAGCGGCTGCCCTGCGGCCCGAGCGCCCCGCGGCAGCACAGCCGAAACCTTCTCGGAAAACCTCCTTTACTCAAAACAATCCCGGAACCACCCCGCCCCCATCCCGGGGCGTCTGCAGCGGGGTCTTCCCCCGCGGACAAGGCCAAGGGCTTGCCTGGGGACCCTGCTCCGGGGGCGCAGGGCCCGGGGCGGCCCAGTCCGCGGCGCGTCCCGCGGAGATGCAGCGCCCCGAGCAAACTCCTGAATCGGCAACTTCCGCGGCGCAGGGCTGGCTTCGCCGACCGCGAGCTGCCAGGGCGGCCGAGGGCGCCTCGGGGACGGCGGTTTCTGCTCCTGAGTAGCTGCTCCCTCAGGCACCCCGCCCGCGCACACTTGTGGCTTGCACTCCGCTCTGCCTGTCACACTTCAGTCTTTAAAAAAGTCCTCGGCTGCCACCGCGGAGGGGCGCGAAGGGGGGTCGCCCAGCCCAGCGCACGCGCTGCCAAGGGCGACCTGACCTTCACCGGGCGAGGGCAGGGGGCTCGGCCAGGTCCGCGCCAGGCCCCGCACGCAGATCTACGGCCGCGCCAACGCGGTCGGCGCGGCCGTCCGCGCCACGGCCCCGTTCCGTCCACCCAGGGCGCTGCCCCCTCCGGCAGACCGGCCGCCCCTTCGCGCTCGGCGCGGAGCGCAGGCCCGGCTCCCCCAGGCCCGGGGGCGCGCACCTCCTCGCGGCGGGAAGGCGGCGGGCAGGGGCCGGGAAGGGCCCGGGGCCATCTCTCAGCCCCCGGGGTCGGCGGCCAACTCTCGGGGACCTAAGCGGGGACCGGCGCTGCCGAGCGCGGGGCCGGGGGCCGGCGGCAGAGACGGGCTCGCAGCGCGGCAGGCGCGCCTCCCCCAGGCGCCCTCCGGGCCGGGGAACCGGGGCGCCGCGGGCTCTTTTGTTCTAGTACCGGGGACGGAGGCGGCGGGGGCGGCGCTCCGCCCGGACAGGGTGCCCCGGAGACCCCGCACACTCCGCGCGCGGGGAGGGGATAGAGGGGAGGACCGCGGACCCAGGGCCGGGATCGCGCCGCGCAGACTCACCTCCCCTTCCAGCTGCACAGGTCGCTCGAGTACTGCGCGCCCGCGCCGCCCAGCAGCACGGCCAGCAGCACGGCCAACGCCAGCGGCGGCGGCGGCGGCGGGCCGGGGCCCGGGGAGGGGGGCCGTGGCCACAGCCACCCCGCGCGCCCCCCGGCCGCCCGCGCCGCACCCCGCATGCTCTGGCTCCCGCTCGGCGCCGGCCCCGCGCGCGCGCCCACTGAGCAGACTCTCGACCCGAACGGCCGGGCTCCGAGTCCAGGCGAATCACGTCGCGCGCCTCCCGCGCAGCCGGCGCGGCCGCCCGCCCATCGCGGCAGCTGGAGCCACCGGAGCCTCTGGAGCCGCGCGGAGGTCCGTGCCCGCCGCCGCCGCCCGAGCTCTGAAGTCGGCGAGTCAGCAGCCCGTGTCCCGGCTCAGCTGGGGGGCGGTGCCCGTCCGGCCGCTCCGCCCCGCCGGCCGCCCCGCGCCGGAACCCCGCCCCGCGAGCCGCCGGCAGCGCCCAGCCCCGCGCTCGGCTCCGTGCGCCCCGGCGGGACGCGGCGGACACCAGAGCTTGATGCGCCTCGTGAACATCCAGCACGGGGGGCGCGTGGTCCCGGGAGTGGGACCGGCTGGGGCGCCACGCGGAGGAGTGGTCGCGGAAAGGAAGAAGGGTCCGGGAGAGAAGAGCCACAGTGAAAAGCCGGGTCCGAGCGACAGGAGGACCCGGCGGCCGCGCGTCGGTGGCCTGTGCGACGCGGGGGCGGGGGAGAAACCCGAGACCCCAAGGCCGCGCAGACCCCCGCCCAGTGCCCGGCCGCGGCCCCCTCCCGCCGAAGGAGCCGGAATGGCCGCGGGCCGTGGCAGTTTGACGGGACTAGTCCGAGCCCATCAGGGCTGTGCCCGGCACAAAACCCGCCGCAGAATTCGAGTGTAGTTTGTAGTGGCGGTTCAGACTGCATCCCGTTCTGGGGCCCGAGGTAGGGGAGGCCCCGCTTGGCTGCAGATGCGGCAGCCTCACCGGAGCGCGGCCTCTGGAGCAGCCGCTCCGCACGAAGCCTCCGGCTTTGCCGGCCCCGAGGCCGCTGCTCCTGCGGTCACTCCCTGCTGGGCCCCGCCGCCCGCACGCGCTGGTCTAGCGCCTGGGGCCCCGCATCCCCGCGGGATCCTCGGGCCGGGGTGTGTCCCGTGCTGCTGGGACTCTGCAGCGGACTGAGCAGCGATTTTCCACCCTTGCACCTCATGGCCCACGAACACTGGTAACTAAAATTCTGTGACACACCAAAAAATATACATATTTTTGCAGATCTGACAAAAAGCAGGTATCCTGTTGATTCATTCACACTGGACAGCTATTGTGTTGGCGGCTGCCTTTTTTCTTCTTGTTTGGCAACCGAAGGAAAGAGAGGCCAGTGCCCCGGAGTCACGGGCGGGCGGGCGTTGTGAGTGGCGCCCCAGGCTGCCCTCCAGCCTTGACGGCTCAGGCCGCCTGCGGATGTTGCCAAGTATCTGTTCTAGGAGGACCCGGCACAGTGCGTGCTGAGAGCCACTCCCTCCGCCCGGCGCTCACTGGGGCCACCCTGCGCCAGACGTCTAGCAGGGGACACAGCGGGACAAGCACCCTGGTCCCTCCTGGAAGGGCTGAGGCCAGGAAGCTGGGCCGGCCTGGGGGGACCTTGGCGGTGATGGTGAGGGTCCTCGGGCAGAGGGAAGGGGCCTGGCCCGCAGGCAGCCCCACGGTGACCACAGAGCAGACCTTTCTGCTTCCTCCCCCTGCAGGACCTGACCTCCTGTTAGCATTTCCATTCCAGCCAAGAAACATTTCAGGAGGAATTTCAAGTGACCTGGGAGGGTAGAGGTGACTTCCTGCCCCTGCTGCTTTGTACAGTGCACCTTTGTCCCGTGGTTAGAGGTCTGGAGTCCGGCTGTGGGGGTCGGGGATCGTGCTCGGAAGTGGCCTGAGTCTGCAGGGCCCCACACAGGGAGGCAGCCCCTCCGGAGCCCTGCGGCCAGGGCGGGGCCCTGGAAGGTGAAGGATCTGTTTGGAGCAGCCCTGGAACTGAGCAGGTTGACCCGTCCAGCCAAAGCTTGACGGTGGCCCTGTCCGGCCACACCCAGCGAGCTACCCGGAGACGCGCGGCCGCCCTAGGGGCTGGGCTTGGGGCTCTGCTGCACCCTCCCCACCCCCAAGTGCTGCAGGGCCAGGGGCAGAAGGGCTTCGAGAAATGGGCAAAACGAGACCATCCCCCTGAGACTCTGGAACCTGCAACCACCTCTGTGCCCCAAAGGGTGTCAGCTCTGACCCTGCTGCTGGGCATCCCCCCTGCAGGCAGCCCCCAGCCCCACTGTCCCTGAGGGCCTGTGGCTTCCCCAAAGGAAGGGACCGAGTGCTGCCAGCGACCCAGGTAGCTCTGGGGGGTGTTCTGTACAAAGTAAATACAAGAAAGGTCTGAGTTCACTCATGTGGGATATAAAAAAGAAAACAGGCAACAAACAAAACGCTCTAGACACAGACAACAGAATAGTTATGAGAGAGGAAGTGGGTAAATTGCATAAAGGGTCAAATACGGAGAGGACCCCAAAAGTGGAATTTATTTATAAAAATTGTGTGTTTATTCTTACATGTTTAAACGTCAGTCGCCTTCGAAGTCCTCTCCATTTGATGCCCGACACCTATCGGAGACCTTTTTGCCCACGGCTCAAAACAGTGTTTGACCTCGTTGATGCCTTTAGTGCTTCTGCTGTTCTTTGTCTCACCTCTTCCAGAGCGGCAGAAAGCTCCCCTCGGAGCCTGTTCTCATCCGGAGAAACAAACCACAGTCACCTGGAGTGAGATCCGGTGCATAGGGAGGGAGGAGCGCAGGAGTCCTGCCGGCTCTGGTGCAAAACTGCTGACCGCTCAGCGCGGTGTGGGCAGATGTGCTGGCAAATCACCCGCCACGAAGTGAGCCAATGCAGTGCGAGTCTCCACAGAGCAGCTCCCTGACACCGAGTGCAGCCTCTCTCAACAGCGCCGGCCGCTGCGCCGACGCGGACGGGCTCCCAGACACGCCGCCGGCCGGGGAGCCGGCGCTGCGGGGCCCGCCCTCCGGGGGAGAATTCCATTTTCTTTGGTCGCCCCTCATAGGTGGCAAAATAGATCCACAGGTATCGAACTGTAATGTTGCACACCTGCAATGCATACAGTGTTATTAACCAATGTTATCTCAATAAATTTAATTTTAAAAAACACCCAGAGACCACGGAACGAAAGGGCGGCGGCCCTCCCCGGGGTGACCTTGACCTGGTCCCCGTCCCAAAGCCCCCAGCGCCCAGGCCCCGGAGCTCGGACAGCACGGCAGTGCCTCCTCATGGAACACGCCTCACAAGGGTGAACCTGCAGCCTCTAGTTAATGAGTATCGATACTGGCTCGTTGACTGTGACAAAGGCCTTAATAATGGGGATTCTGGGACCCCAAAAGAGTCTACAAATTAGACAATAACAGCTAAGGTGGCCTGCTTGCCTGGCAGTGTCCTTGGAAGAGCCCAGCGGGGCCTCGGGAAAGGGCCTGGCCCTGCTCAGCCTGCCCTCCCGGAGGGTCCCCGAACAGGAATTTCCAGATTTCCCTCCTCCTGACCTGCTGCCACGCAGGGTGTGGCCACAGCAGCAGAACTGGTTCCCCCAGCGTCACTCAGCTCCTGAGGGGACTTATGCTCCAGAGACGCTGTGGGCACCTCTGCACCTGCAGCTGGGGGGGTGGGGGCGGGGGGGCGGGCGCGGGGGGGCTGCCGACCCCCTCCTGGCCCTGCAGAGCCACCTGCAGGCTGAGGTGGGTCCTGGCTGTCAGGCTGCCCAGCCACCACCTGCCCCCGCCAGGGCCTGGCCAGGAACGAGGGGACCCGAAGGTCCCTGCCAGTCAGAGCTGCAGGTCCTCCCAGGTGGTAAGAGAAGCTGGGGTGTGTTTGCCCACAGATGCCTGGGGCACTTCCCAGTGAGGGGACAGCGGCCGCCCTCGCCCTGCCCAGCAGCCAGGGACCCCGCGCTGGGGTGGCTTTGAGCCTGGCGTGTGCAGGCGGTGGTGCTGGCCGGCGGCCGCTCGGGGTGCGGCCAGGCCCCGCGGTCGGCGGCATGACCAGCTCTCACGGTCCCCGTGGTCGCGGGTGGCAGCCGCCCAGCCTCCGCGGCCCCTCGCTCTGCCTGGCCATGGACAGACCACGGGCCCCAGGGTGGTGAGCCGTGACCTCTGTGCCCCCCACTCCCTGGACACAGCACCCGAGGGGCAGCAGCCCCCACCTGGGAAGCAGAGCCTGGCCCTGTCAGGCCTGGGTGTGTGACCCTGCCCTCCCCCCGCCCCCGTCCCTGCCGCTGCCTCCGGGCGACAAGCTCAGACCCGGGGCTGCAGTTGGAGCCGGGCCAGGAGAAGGGGCGGAGGGAGCAGCAAGCCCAGGGCGCCAGGGTCGCCCCGCGCGCCCTGCATGGACCTGGGTGATGGCGCCGGTCCTACGGCTGCGGCCCGGCCCTGGGGGAGGGTGGCATCCAGGCCCCCCAGGCCCGCCGGCCCACCCCAGGCCCCCGTCTTCGGAGCCACGGGCGGGTCTTCCCAGGCCTGAGCGAAGGGCTGGCCCCATCTCCTGCCCCAGGACGCTGACGGCCCCGGCCCCCGGGGAGCACAGTCCCAGGGAGGAAGGCAGACAGGGCGGGGCTCAGCCCAGGGACCACACAGAAAACAGCGTCACAGGCTCCGGCGTGCGGGCCGCCTGCAGGTGAGTGCCCGCCCCCTCGCCAGCCTCCAACCCCGCCTCCCTCCCTGGGCCCCCAGCAGGTGCACGGTTCTGCGTCCGGCAGCTGCGCGCAGCCTGTGGCCGAGGCTCCCCAGGCCGGGCCGGGATCACGCCCAGGCTGGGAGTTTTCAGGGTGGCGACAACGGGAAGATGAAGTCACGGCTGCCGGGGGCCAGGCCCAGGGACCCCGCCTCTGGGAAGGGCGCAGCCCCTCGCCCCGCAGCCCCTCGCCCCGCAGCCCCTCGCTCCGCCAGGCTCATGGCTGCCAGGCCTGTGCGGGGACGCGGCCCAGCGTGGCGCCTCCCGGGGACCAGGTCCCTCACTTCAGTGACGCGCATGTCGCACTTTCTCCGTTGTCCCCAGTCGCCCGGTATAAGCAGCACAGCCCCCCCCATCCCGGGACCGGGCCTGCTCTGCGGGGGCCCCAGCACCGGAGCCCACCGACCCCAGGCAGGCGGCCCTGGGGGTGCTGAGCTGGCCGCCCCATTCACGCCGGAATT